CTGGGCCTGGGTCGTTGTTTCTAGCGAGGGAAGTTCAGAGCCAGGAGAGTGCCCTTGGGGGGAGCGCCCATGCCCTGCCTCCCCCCCCCCCACGTGTCGCAGCACTGCTAAAAGGCAAAGAGCCCTCCAGACTCTGGTCTTTAATTGAAGATGAGAAAGGCTCTTTTAATAACGATTCACTTGGTAGCACTGATTGCATGTAAACCAAGTTCTCATTCCTGCATTCCAAGTATTCCCACGCTCTTTGAAATACTTTATGTCGTTCTGACTAAGAGGAAAGGTAATTGGGGTGTATGTGAATATTTGTACTCCTCTGGTTAGTCTACATCACCCTCCTCCCAAGTCTGAGTGAAGTCCAAGGTTACACAGCATGCTAGAAAATGAGATGACTGGAAAGCGTTCCGCTTATAATTTGTACATACACATGAAGTTATTTTAAAGTTACAGCCAGTATAGTCCTGGGCTTCTAACTTTCCTCGTTTTGTGTGGTTTCATGTGGTGTCACGGACTTTCTTCGTAGTGGAGTTGTGTTGATGGGTTGGGTTTGGGGGCCAGACTTTAGGGGGTCGCCGGAATTGTGGGTACGAGAGTGGCTGATAGAAAAAGAGAAAAGCCACCAGGTTGGATGTGTGGCTAATCAGCCAGGTCAACTTATTCTTCAGACAGATGGGGCCGTCTTACCTCTGCCTTCTTTCCATTTGTCCTTTTGACATTTATTCCCTCCCTCAAGGCAGCCTTTATTTGAACATTGCAGTGGTGTTAGAAGTGGAAATGGGTGTTGGGCATATGTAAGGAACCCTTGTGGTGCAGTGGGTTAAGTGGGGGGCTGCTGCCTGCAGGGTTGGTGGTTCAAGCCCACTAGCTAGCTGCTCAGTGGGATGAGAGGTGGCTGTCTGCTTCTGTAAGAATTTACAGAAACCTGGTGGAGCAGTTATACTCTGTCCCAGCGGTTCTCGCCCGATTCCTAACAGTAGCAAAATGACAGTGATGAAGTAGCAATGAAAATGATGTTATGGTTGGGGTCACCACCACACGAGGAGCTGTATGAAAGGGTCACGGCACGAGGAAGGGTGAGGACCGCTGCTCTATCCTGTGGGGTTGCTGTGAGTGGATTGGATTTGGTTTATGGACATGTCTATGGAAGATGATTGTTTCAGTATGTGATGTTGAGTGTGGGGTAACTGCAGCTAACTGGTGGCTAGTAACCAGTGCTGCAGTTATTGATTTGGCTTGGTTTTAGAGGTTAGGAAAATGTATTTCATCCAAGACTCACTTAAAATAAGTTGATCATGATTCTTAGTTCCCTTATAGGACGGTGTAGAACTGGCTTGTTGGGTGTCCGAGACTGTACTTCTTTTTTTTTTTTAAATCAATTTATTGGGGCTCATACAATTCATCACAATACATAGATCAATT